GCAGGAACCTGGAGTCAGTAACTGAGGAAGAAGCTATGGAGGGGCATTGTTTACTGGCTTGCTCTTCATAGTTTGTCAGTTTGCTGTCTTATACATCCCAAGTGTCCAGGGATAGCATCACCCATAGTGGGCTGGGCCCTCCCACATAAATCTTTGATGGGGAAAAAAAAGCCATTTTTTCTCAATGGAGGTTCCTGCTTCCCAAATGACTCTGGTCTATGTCAAATTAACATGAAAGCAGCCATCACAGGGGTTTGGACCCTGGGGATGCTAATACTATGCTCTGAAGGCAAGTAAAATAATTTTGTACTCCTTCCTTCCTCCAAACCTCAGTATCCTGCAGACACCAGGATGAGATCCAAAATTGCAGGGAGCCCCCAAGTCTGAGGGTGGAGAGTCAGAAATGAGTGGGAAGACCATGACTTTTGAGCTGGCTCTTGGAGTTCTGCATCCTGAGCCTATGTGCCAACAACTTGCCTGAGAATAGAAAGGAACCATGCACCTCTCAAAAGAGCTAGCACTTAACTCATCTTGTAGGATGCTAATTCATGTCACCCAGGGACCCATGCCATTCCTCTGTTTAAGATTCACTATATATAGAGCTATGCAATGTTTATTTATCCTATGAAGCACATGGTAATAGCATGAGTGAGCATCAAAACAAAATTCTATATTGATTCCATTATCTGAGAAGAATAATTTCCATTGTTCCAATGTCCCTTTCCAATTGTACATGCTTAGAGCCTTTCATGACTTGAATTATAGCACAGATGGCATTTTATAAAGTTAGCATGGTGTTATACTTGTGGTTACATATTTACCTATTAACAACTGTATAGTACATTGTATGTAGGCTAGTCTTGAGCTGAGGAGTTCAAGGGATCCTCTTCTCTTGGCATCCCAGTAGCTGGGATTGCAGGCTTGTGCCCAGGTATAGTGTATTGCATATTAGGTCACAAATCTGGCCTTAACTGTTGGAACTGAACCGATTAACTGTTGTGCTGGAAACATTAAACCCTCTTTCAAGCTACATCCGGACATTTTCTGCATCTTTCCTGCTGAGGTTTGTGTTTGCACAAACTTAGGTTGAGGTAATATTTCCAGTGTACTAGATATGGGGACATAAGGAGGTGGCTGCAGAGTCATGGTCACATGGCTGAAGTCTCCAATAAGTATGCATAAGGAGTGCTGTGGTCAGCCTGGAGGCTTCTGAATTCAGAGTCTGCTGAAGTCCAGCTTCAGAAAGATAAAAGTTGTGATGAGGAGGTGTGGGGAGAAGGGGATGAAAACACATCTGAGGGTTAAGCAGCTTTCTCTCCCAACCAGAGACTCTTCCTTCGATAACATATTGACGGCATAAGCCATTTGGCAAGCATCAGGCTATTTCATCCATGATTTCAAGAAAGAGTGGCTTCATCTAACAGAGCCCCAGTTCCCTTTTTCATTTCCTCATTAAATGTCCTGGGTGAAAAAGAAAATTACAGAACAGTTTTGTCTGAAGCAACATCTTCAGACAGCATCTGTCAAATCCGGAAATTTGAAGTTTCTCAAAGCATACACCTGCTTTTACAGCCAGTGGCTACAATGTGTTAGACAGTCTGAAACTTTCTTTTTGCCTTCACCAAGTTGCATGTAGCATCATTTAATGTCTTCAAAAATGTAAGCCTTACAAAGTGTCTTATAATAAGCATTTAATTGGCTGATTGTAACATTTTTCTGTTCCTTAATTTCACAATTGGGGCCTGTTCTTTTCATATGCTCCCAGAAAGGAAGATTCTGGTACTGAATTCTTTTTCCATCAACCCACACTATTCTTATTCCCTCTATAAAGGCTTCAGTATGGGGCAACAGGAAGATGAGCACCTGATTTCTTTCCTATTGGAGCAGCCCATACCCTGCTATCCATCTTCTATGCCACATACCCCAGGTAAAGGAGCTTTATAGTGGGGACAAGCCCATGGTGACACTTCTGACCTAATAATCCTCCTCCTCAGCTCCAGCTCCACAGAAGAGAACATCCTTGTGACATCTTGTATCCAGAATTGAGCAAGAACTTTCTCAGAATCTACCCTACTGGTATACCACAAATCCTTGGCACGTAAGGAAGACTCTTGCTTCTGTGACATTCCTTTCAGGCCATGACCCTGTCTTCAAAGTTTCCTGGAACATGAATATATTTCCCCAAGGGCTGTGTAAGCACAAACCTCCATCAAGCAAACAACCGCTCCTAAAAGTGAAACCGAAAGATGTTTCCCAGCCCTTGCAAACAACTATAAACAAGGACTCCTAAAAGTGAAAGCATGCTGGCCTTCGAACCCTTCAAACAGCCTCATGACTCCAGCTATCCCTTGTGCCATGGCCTGTACCAGAGTCATTGGCAGGTGACCCAGCCATCTCCATGTGCCTGGAACTGAGTTTTCTCAAATCCTAAGACTTGAGGGGCTGAAACCAGGGAAGGTCAGTGTAAGCTGGGATGAATTGGTGCTTGTAGACCTTGGTTAAACTGTAACCTCTCCTTAGTGGAGAGGAAGTGATGGGGCTGAGAAGGGAACACATGGATAATTTGTATGTCATGAAAAGCTCACACCAATGAAAACCAGCTCAGGTGCTGCAATGAGGTCTCACCCTTTATATGGGAGTCAAAGCAGATGTGTATCTCCATGGGTGTTCTGCTTACAGGAAAAGGAAATTATACCCATTCATTTAATAAATATGCAAGGAACACCAGTCATCCCTCAGGCACTGGACAGTCCCTCTGTCCTTCTGGCATTTCTGTTATGTACATCAGTATACATGCATGCGGATGGTAGACATGGAAATAAATTACCAGGCATGAGAAACCTCGTTTCAAATTGTTGTTCATGGAGTCCAGGAAATCTTATAAAAAAACAAAAGCAATGTAAGCTATTGCTTTGTTCCTGGCTGCCTCCCAGATCTGAAGTTAAGTCCCTATTGCTAAAGACGCCACACAGTTAGGACACAGGTGTTGAAGGAATAAAGCTAGAATTGATTTGGAATCCTTCTCTTTGAGGACTGACTCTCATTGTACCAAGAGGGGCTGTGCAAGCTGCCAACTGAGAAAATTCAATCAAAAGTCATATACAGTTGTGAAGCCCACAAACTATAACGACCAGCATGGCAAGATACACCCAAAAGTGCAATAGTGAACTTACATTTTGGAGGGATCCAACAAGTATCTAATAGGATGTAAGGCCCATTCAATAGGAGGTAATTCAGGTTTGATACTGTAAATCTGGCCAAATAAATACTCATTTCTCAGGAGGCCACGTGCCCCAGAGGAGAATCTACTATTGCCACTTTACTAAACCAGTAAAAAGTTTAACTACATTCTAAATACTCACTCCTGTATTCACAGAAAATCGCAACTCTCAAGGAAGCTTTCCCTTGCCGCAGAGACCATTACATAAATCCACAAGTGTGGTGTGTCCACCCCAACTGATTTATCCACAACACAATCCTTATATCAGTGACTCAGGGAGCATGAAGGAGAGGGAGCAGAAAGGTTTTTAAGAGCCAGAGGAGCAAGATGTCTGCTTCTGTATTGCAGGCAAGTTGCACCCATGAGGTCTCAGCAGTATAGTAGCCTACATGAGACCTGAACAGTAGCATCAGTTGACAAACAAGCTTGGATGGAGGAAATAGCACAAGACCTCTCCTCTGGATGGAGAGCTATGGGCAACTAATAGAAGCTGAGATGGAGAGTGAGTCTTCCCCAGGAATGATTATTTAGTTATCTAGTAACAAGCTGTCATCCCTAAAAACATATAGTTAAGTGAAACTAAATGGACTCAACAGGTTGTATTAAGATTTATATGTATGTAGTATACACATAGCAATAATAAAAAAGGGGGTAGGGTGTGGGTGATCTGGGAGGAGTTAAGAGGAAGAGTGGGGTGGTAGATAAATATGGTCAAAGTATGTTTTGTGAAATTCTCAAAGAAATATTATATTAACATTAAAAAGAAATGGTAACAAACAAATGGAAAAATATGAAACTCATAAGAATGCTATGAAGGCTGAGGTAGCAGGAAAAGGATAGATTAGTGGAATGAGAACTTCCTGGTGGCAGACAGCTAACTCCTGAGCAGGGACAGTTATTTCATGGAGCTACCATTTGAAGAAAAGCCCTGACAAGAGAGCTACCCCATTCGGAATCACAGGAAGCTGGTTACTGTGGGGAGCCGCTGTGACAACCTAGTATCCACACCCACAAGACAAATAAGCGCCCCGCCTGTAGGACTGTTGCCTGAAGAGGGAACTGGGACAGGCTTTGCTGTGACTTGGCCCAAGTCTTGTTTTCATGAAAGAGGAATTAAGGACCTCAGGCTCATAGCCTTGCAGACTGTCTCTAGATTCCTATCCACGCACTTCAGCTCACAGCTGTTGTTTGGCTCGGGAACTTCATTGTCTCCTCTTGTATAACTGAATAAGTCAAACTAGTCATCTACCGTAGACAAGGAAAGTTGGCCTTGATATTTTATGTAGGTGGGCACAAGGACTGAAATACTGACCTTAGGGGACTAGAGAGACTTAGGGATCCAGATTAACCCTTGGTTCCCTTGTGAGACAAGCTTCCAGAACCCCAGCAAAGAACGAACACATTCTGCATCCTGCAGACGCGGAAAAGGAAACTGGCCACACCATAGACCGCTTCAGGCGACCTTTCACTAATCACCTGTTTGTGCAAGTTCAGAACCTAGTGCTCAAGTTGAGGCGACGAATAGTCCTACGTGTGTAGAAGGCTCAGAGAAGACGCTTACGTGTGCAAGGAAGACAGGATTTCAATAGCTCAAGGAGTTAACATCCAAAACCAACGCAGGGGTGGGGACAAAAACCACACCCCACGGGAGCCAGAGCCAACTCGCAGGAGAAAAATCCTATTGGCATCTAGGAGGCAGGGAGCCAGCCCCTGGGCGCGGCCTGCAGGGGGCAGGCGATCGCCCGGGGAAGCGGGGGCAGGACGAGTGGCTGCGCTCAAGTAGCTCAGGCTCCACAGCCACAGGGACCGCTCTGCGCCCTCCTGCCCAGTGCACCCTCCTTGGCCCGTGGACTCCCGCTATACAGCCGCTGTCATGTGTGCGTCCCGGACGCCGCCGCTGGCACACATCTTCCGAGGGACTTTCGTCCACTCCACCTGGACCTGCCCCATGGAGGTGCTCCGCGATCACCTCCTCGGCGTGAGCGACAGCGGCAAAGTGAGTGGGCATGGGGTCCCGCGCACCGTGGACAGGTGGAGGGACCCTGGCGAGGTGCTGGCGCGTTCTGGGTTCGCTCTGGCACAGAGTGAGCGCCCTGGCTCTGGAGTTGAACTTGAGCATTTGGCTAATCTTAGGGAATGCAAACAGCTTGGGTCACTAGGTTTGTAGCCTGGCTGGGGTGGAATGACGCCTAGAGGTCAGGAGCTATGGATTACTAGCAGGGCACTGTAGGAACCCTCAGAAAATGTGGTTGAATTTCTTGGCCACGAAGCTGACGAGATGGGGTGGGAGGTGGCACTGGATAAGTGTTGTTTACTGAATTCAGCAGGTAGAATAAGCAAAAACACCTGGTCTCATTCACAGGATCAATCGTCAAACAATGCACCAGGCTATACAAGTTTAATGCTGGAAAGGATAGAACAGGAAAAATTCTCTCTCTCTCTCTCTCTCTCTCTCTCTCTCTCTCTCTCTCTCTCTCTCTCTCTCTCTCTCTCTCTCTCTCTCTCTCCCCCTCTCTCCTTCCCCTGTCATACACAGCCATTTACATCAAAACAATCGGTTTCATTTTAAAGTTCATAATGCCTTCTATGATTATAGATTTTTATACCCCCCTAATTAAATCTCCATAAGTGTTATATGATGTCTGATGCCCACTTCTTTGTTCACACAGATGGTAACTACATACATTAGCCATATCCTGGTCAGTTTGATAAGTGAAGTCATTTCGTTTTGGGGAAGAATGGGATATTTTAAACTGCTTCTCAATGTATACCGGTTTGTGGTTTGCCAGGTTAAAGACTATAGGCACTGCCGATTCACTGAAAGAATTGAATTATAACTTCTATTTGGAAATAACCAAATTTGTTATTCTTAAAAATTTGTTAGTGTGTGTGTGTGTGTGTGTGTGTGTGTGTGTGTGTTAGAATGTGTGTCAGAGAACAACTGGTAGGATTGGTTTTCTGCTTCCTCCATGTGGATTCCAGGGACTGAACTCAAGTCCCCAGGCTTGGTGGCAAGCACCTTTAGCTACTAAGCCACCAGGCAGGTTCCAAAACCTTGTTTTCTCATGGTACTTGATTTTTGTTGTTGTTAGCACATTGGGAAGCATGATGCTGTGTTTCCAAGGTGATAAAAGTCTCAGAGCTCACCTAATGGAGGCTCCAGTAAACCAGGGGACCTGCATATATCCATTGCACATATAGGAGTATGACCCTCAATTTCAGTGAACTACTTACTACTTGATGTAAGCCCCCAAGAAACCAAGTACAGACACTGGGAGACCGGTGATGGAAAGGAGATGCTAGTTTTATCACAAGAGCTTTTTGATTGATAGTTTTCTTTTTTGAAATAACCTTTTATCCCCTCAATTCTCATAGATACTGTAACTGACATGGCGGTAGGTTTGGGGATGATGGAAACAAGACAAGGGAGTAAGTTATCAGAAAACTAATCTTTTCTTTGAGTTTCTACAGAAGAATAAGAGTGTGTCCTGAACATGCAATTAGTGGTTGAGTCAGAAAGCGTATTCCTCTTGGAGAGTGCTGAGACTCTCAGTTGGGAGAGTGTGCCATTCCCACGTGAGGAGACAAAACTAAATAGGAATTGAACACAGAGGTGAGCAGTTAAGATTTACAGCTGAAAACCCCCTTGCCCAGGATTGTTAACTGATTGGTCTACCTCCTGGGTGCAATACAGTAAGTTGCCCCTCCCCCAGCCTTGATTTCCCTCATGTTGAAGTAGGGAATGCCTCACATTTAGGGTTGCTAAGACAAACTGCTTACTTATACATTGTTATTTAAGCATTCCAAGGTATATGAAAACCAGGATGTCCTTGAGGTGAGTAAGGTTCAGGCACACAGCTTGAGATGGATCAGGGGTATCTAGAAGGACTTGTGAAAATACTGGCTCCATGACAGCATCCTCAGAGATGCATAGGTGCAGAGCTGGATTCTTACAGGCATCTTTGGATACTCGGGTAAGGCAGTGGTTGAATCACATTCTGAGTGAGTCTGGTGGATCCATTGTATGAAATGTCCAATGCTCATCTCACTTCAGACCTAGGTCTGGGGCAGCATCTCACAGAAGGGACAGCTTTCTTTGTCTTCCTTCCCTAAATCAAACCTCTCATTTCCTGTCACTTGACTTTGGGTTAGAAAACGTTAATGACTGTGCTTAATTCATTCAAGTACAATACATTAAAAAATGAGCTAATTTTTATAAATGCAAAACAACAACAAAGCTTCCTGTAGCCAATATTTTGTATTATTTAGAATTCAGGGTGAAGTTTTATACATAAGCAGCCTGCAGCTTTTTTCATTAACTATGAAACACAGTGTGCTCAGATATTATTATTACCCAGTTCTTTCCACATACATCAGGGTCAAGTTGACTCTAAGGAATCTTCAAGGTTGGAACTTTCAGTGCACACTCACACAGAAGCCAGAATAAGTGTGCCCATGTGGTAGCAGCAAATTCTTGGTAGAAATGAAGCTCTGGGTAGGAGTGTTCACCTGCTTTGAGACCATAAGATGAGACATTGAACCTCTCCCAAGCCTCAGATCCCTTCTTGGTTTAAATCAGGTACAGAGTGAGCTGCTGTGTGGCAATATTTGCACTTAGTTGAAACTGCATTGCAACTGTGGTCATTCTGGCCCCTTCCTTTCCTGCTTCTAGTAAGCCCTAAGTCTCTTGCTCAGTGGCAGTTTTGCATCTTTCCATGTGGTGGCACCTGTGCAGCCAAGTGGTAGAAAAGAAAACCGAGGCTCGGAGCAAACCTTGTAGGCAGAGGCACAGCTGTAGGATCTCAGCTGCTCATCTTTGTGATTGTGTCAGCCACTCATGCATCATGACACACAAAACTGTACCTTGGAAAAGTCTCATGGGCCTTAGCTCCTAGGTCACTAGAATATTATTGTCACTGCTACTCCCACAGCAGTGAAGAAGCTGGTTAGAGTAGCTGTGCATCCACAGATGTGGTAGCTTCCAAAATGTGGCCCAAAGACCAAGTTCTGTTTCCCCCAACAGTCTACTTCCCTAAGAAACAAAGAGTTATTGAATTTAAAACTTACTCTTTGGGGGTTTAATGGTTAAGTGGGTAAATGCCTAGCTGCTCTTCTAGAGCTCTCAGATTTGATTCTCAACACCCACACAGCTGGACACAAACACCTGTGTCTCTAGTTCTAGGGGGATCTGAAGCCCTCTTCTGGCCTTTGAGAGCACCTACATGCACACACTCATACTCAGACACACACAGACACAGACAGACAGACAGACAGACAGACAGACAGACAGACAGACACACACACACACACACACACACACACACACCCCATGTAATTTTAGTCAATGCAACAAACTTGGGATAATAAAAGTGAAATGAGTCTTGAATCAAAAACTGTTCTCATCACTGGAGATAAACAAATGAATGACATATGAAAATAGCCTTAGTGAGGTCAATCTAGTGAGACATGTCAGACCTGCTGGGACTTCTCAGGACAGAACTGGTCCGAGTACAGAGGGAAGGTGTTCTCCAGCTGAACATGTTGTGATATTTAAATAATAACCTGCAGGGTGAATGGAAATCCATAAGCAGGTTGGATTCAGAGATTAGCACCTTTTAGATGGAGGAAATGGCCTGTGTAAAAAGTGCTGGGGTTAGAAAGGATGAAAGGCAAAGATAATTAGAAATCCATAGTTGAGGAGAAGGATAACACAATGTAAGACAGCAGGATGGTAGTGACCATGTAGAATTGGACAAGGATTTCTCAAGATAAAGTATTCACTTCAAGATAAAGATTGAAAAGGGGTATGGCCAGGCCCGGGAGTGAGGTTAGAGAAATGCAGTGGTTTAGCTAAAGCAGAATGTTTCATGAACTCTTAAGAATGCCTCTGCCACCTATTCCTATACGAATCTGGCCAACTCAACATTTCAATTTCTAATATATAAAATAATTCAATCATTATCTCATGAGGTGGTGGGAAGTGTTAAATTACTTTATAAGCATAAACTGTACAGAATTATTCATGACCTACAGGTTATCCAGGGCCAGTACAAACCAGCAGTTATTGCCATCCATGGAGAAGGAGGGATGTGGACAAATGGGGATCTATTTCAGCTGTATTGGATGGCGGCTTATATACACAGTCTAAATTCTAATTTCTGGAGCCCAGAGTGGTGTCTATAAATGTATGTGGGCCTATAAAACTGGAGGCAGCATCTATCCACTAATGGAAGTGATTGATTGTTGAGCTGGGTCTCAAAGGAAAGATCAGCAGAGAAAGGGTCAGTAGCCCTGGCAAAGGGTTCTTCAGTTCTCCAGATGACAGGATGAAAAAGTCCTAGTTCATGTGAGACTGCTTCACTTTATTGCTTTGCTAGAGTTCTTGGTCTGAATTACAAATCTCTGGCTCTGCTTGAGTCATCCATTTCTCCTGCTTGGAAGGGTGGAGATCCACCTTCCTGCCAAGCTCACAAACTCAGAATATTGTCCTAGTCCTGAAGAGAAAAATTGAACTTAACCACCCCTTATGAGGCCACTGGAATAGGGACATGGGTTTCATAAAATGATGCATTCATGCCCAAGTACCACAGGGTAATTCTCTGATTTCCTGTAGACTTAAAGACATTTTCTCCATCCAAAATGTTTGTGGCAGGGGTTGGAGAGGTGGCTGATGGGTAAGAGTTGTTTGCTCAAGTTCAAATCCCTAGCATCCACATAAAAATGTGGGCATGGCTGCACATGCCTGTGACCTCAGCATTGGGGGCAGGGGTTAGAGATAGGCAGATCCTGGGAGCTTGCTGACCAGCCAGACTAACCCAAAGAGTAAATTTCCAGCTTAGTGGGAGTTCCTGTCTCAAACAATGAAATAGAAAGTGATCAAGGAAGATAGAACCTTTTCTAGCACACATGGAGCATGTTTCCACATAGCTCTAAGCAACATTTATCACACACATACACACACACCACACTACACACACAGTCACATTAAAAAAAAGT